TCACCTTGGGATGCGCCCTCATCGCGGAGACAAACAGAAGCATCAATCTCATTACGCAATCCCTGATTGGCTTGAGTGATCGTTGACGTCAGCGTCAGGGAATCTACCCCTAAAGTAGCTTGTGCGCTACGCCGCATGCATCATTCAAACACCTCTTCTCGCTTCAGAGCACATCTCTATGGTAGCCGGGTAGCCTCCCGAGTCCACAGACGGGAACCAGCTATCCAAGCTAACTTCGGTCGCACGGCGGCGCCGCCGGCTACTTCTACCTATATACTTCTGCACAGAAGACTGTTAATACTAAACACCAGTTAGTTTGCAATCTTACCTCGCGGTTATTTCTTCGGAATTAAAGGTAGGTTTTGATTTTCAAGCTTGGTAACACACCTGTTATAGCTTTGCTTTCCTCACTACGACACCACGGTAGCGTGGCGGACGTTTTTTTTCTTTTTCTCTCCACACCAGGATAATAAGGGTATTACACACCGTTATATTCTTTAGAGAATAAAATTCTACCGTCGCCTTTTTCCCCGGATTTAACGACAGGTGGGGAAGGATTTTTTTCTCACAAACGTTACCTATTCGAGCCGGGTCCTCTCCACGCCGTCACCACGGCGAACGGCATGGACTGCTTCTTCTCCCCTCACACCGAGAGCGAGTCAGAGCTCGGGAGGCTTCGGCTCTGCGGCCTGCCGGGTTGAAGATATCAGCCAGACTCACACGCAGGTGCTGCTCGTCCTGACCTTTGGGCTGCGAACTACGCCCAGGGAGGCTATCGACAACCCTGGCTCGTGCGGGCATTGCTGCGCCGCTTCACCATCAAGAGCCTCCGCGAGGCTAGGCACGCCAAGCTAGCCTTGGTTTCGCGCAGGACGCCCCCCATGGTCCGCTGTTTCGCCGCCGGCAATCAAGACATGGGGCGCCTCCGGAGATTGAGGCCCCCGCGCGTGTGGTCAGGCTGGGGGCGCAATAACAGCCGGCCAGCTGCTGAACGGCAGCCCGCGCCGTTGTCAGGATGGGGCCCGGTAGGCGGCAATAGCCGCGAGAGTGGAGGCCCCGCGGCTCGTTCGAAGCTGGGCTCCGCAACAATGGACCTCACCATTGGTCCGCCGCGGATGATGTCCTGAGTGGACTACATGGAGGACGAAGAACCTCTGAGTTCCCCTGTTCTGATCGGATGAGCAAGACGATGATGTCTTCGTGTCATCAGCCTCAGCGGCAAAGCGGGAGCGATGCCTGCTCTCCCGGCGATAGCGCACCGCTTCCCCGTCTGGCATGGACCTCGCGCAGGCCGTGTTTTCAACGTGCCGCGTCCCAGCTGGACATCCAATGGCCTGAACGCATGGCCAAAGGAGACCTCCAGGTCCTCGGTACGGGAACTTTGCCGCAACACGGGACAAGAGGGCAGCTCCTTCCAGTCTTCCCGCGGAGATGCTGAGACGAAGGTGTCGGTCTCGCTGGAGAGCCGCCCCTTCACGTAATAAGGCCCCCAATCCAGGGTGCGCTCCTCCCTGACTGTGCGGTAGTGGAGAGGCTCCGGCCTTGCCCTCCGCCTGCCGCCCTGAACCGCTGTGGGTGGCAGCCCACCTCAACCGGAGGCTGCGCGTGTGCGTGACACCAGCAGGAACCCCCACGCTTACGGTGAAGGCAGACCGGTTCAGTCGCGATGACGGAACGGGCCCCCCGTCATAAGCCGCAGCGTTGTCCGCCAGGGCCACCTCAATGGTTCTCCTTCACGCTGGAGCCGCCTACCAGGCGGAGCTCTGCGAGGCCTATCGGAGCAAAACCTGGGGCCCGGCCGTATGGGACGAGATCGCAGCGATCACGCCGACATTCTGCCTTCGTGTTGCAGCGCTGTGCAGTCCCAGGCCACGGGCAAAGTCATGGGCATAATGGTGGCTACCAGGAGGAGCCAGGTGGCTCACCTGACCAACCTCCTGACCGGCGAAAAGGAGGATTGTTCTTGACCCTATCGCTTCGCCGGGGTACATTTTTGCTCCGCTTTAGTCTGATGCAGGCGGAATAGTGAGTCGAAAACAGAAGGAAACGACCTCCAACTCCTCCCCGAAGGGTCCAGCCGCCTTACCTGCCGACGGTCTCGGCCGCAGGTCCTTCGGCCCAGTTGGCCTTCACGTCCTGGGCGGCCGCGCTCAGTGGTACCGAGCCAGCAGAGTCCCCAGCCAAGGCAGGAGACGAGGACGAGTTGGCCGAGGCACATCTCGGGTCTCGGCCAGCCCTGCCTGTTCATGCACAGGCCGACTCAGATTTTGTGGTCACCAGTCGGGAAGAAGAATGCGGGCGGGCTGACAGCCTCCTCTCCGCTCCTCGGTGACAGAGCTGGAGGTCCCTGTTCCCCAGGCTCCAGATGTGTTTTCGGGGGGGCAACCAGGCCTCCATCTTCGCCGCCGCTTCGAGTTGAGTGCGCAACACGCGCATCCTCAAGTCGCGCCGGATGAGTGAGCCATCTAAACTTAATGTTAGCCAGTGACTGGCGGAGGAGCCTGCTTGCTCCCTTCCAATAAACACAGACCAGAGGTTGTTCGGCGTCTTACTCAACCCATATGTCACTGTCGCATAGCAGCCGGTAGCTTTGCATGCGAGTGCGAGCAGCTCAGTGTTTATAACATTAGGTACAGAAAGACTGATAAATCATAAACAGTGCTTGTCGGGCTGTGGCCTTTTTGAGGGCAGAGTCTCAACATCTCCACTCTGTCATAACGACGGATTAGTTAGGACGTCTCGCCTCTGGATGTGTTATTCCATTCATGCGGGAGACCATGCGTCAGTTGTACCACTCAGGGGTTTGCAGGCCCCACCGTCATGCGCATGCGCGGTGTGCGGTGGAGATTGTCGAAATGTTAGCAGTGTGTTCAGACACTAGGAGTGAGCGCCCATAAACGACAGCAGCTGTATATCCGCAGCCAGACTCATTGCAGGGTGGGAGTCAGATCTTGTGTGTCGGTTCCCTCACTCTGGCGGTCTAGGCAGGAGTGAAACAGTCGGAGCGAGGCCAAATTGGCGTCCTGCTAATGGTTGTTTTGTCCGCATGAGGTGCAAGTGACATTTTTTCTTTGGTGCTACAGATCTACCGTCTCGCTGTCACGCCCCTCGCTTCTCGGGCCATTGGCTGCTGTAGTTCCAGTCCTGCGTAGTGTCAGCCCATTCTGGACAGAGAGTGTCTGCCCAGAAGCAAGCTCATCAATCTGGTACGTGCGTCGCTCTCAGAGAGAGGAAGAGGACTGCTAGCTTCACAAGATCAGTTTTGCGTGCCAGCATGGTGTAATGGAGAGAACGCAAACTTCTGACGTTTATATACGATATTGTGGTCGTATTGTCGTCCTCACGAGGACATGGTGTCCTCTGGAAAAGACAGAAATGCCGTTTTAGGGTGAGAACACGCTAAAGCTTCCAGGTACTTATGTGCGACCGTGAGGGTCTCTGTTCCAGAGACCCCTCACCGGTCGACCCTTCGTAAATACCTCCCAGCCTTGTCAGCACATGCGTCTGTGGTGACCACCTTCCGTGAAGGACAGCACCCAATAGGACGCCCGGTCTAGAAAAGTCGGGTGCAGCCAGTGGCGCAGTGCCATTACGCATTTCACAGTGACCATCACTCTCCGCGCCCCATGACGCGTGGGGTTTTAGTTGAGGGCGGCTACCCAGCGCTGGAACTCCCTCATGTGTAAGCTCCCAGTCGTACGACCAGGATGGCTGACGCCATGAGCCCCAGTAAACCGCAGGGCATGATCTGAAGAGAACATGTTTGCGCAGCCTGAACATGAGCGGCCAGCTCTGAAGCTTTCACTCTTTCCGCTGACAGGCGGGCTGAAAGGGCACCGAGTTCAGGTGTAAACCCAGGAAGAGTACAGTCTGTGCCGGAGACAACATGCTCTTTTCTGTGTTTTATTATGAAACCCAGGTTTACAGGTGTTTTACGAGGATATTTGTCTGCGAATAGCTCCGTTCCGACTGTGCGAGAAGCAGCCAGTCGTCTAGGTAGGTTGCAGGGCGAATACCCTGTGTCTTAACGGGGCTATCGCGGCTTCCGTACATCGTACAAACACTCTTGGACTGAGAGAAGACCGAAGGGAAGTACTCTGTATCGTAACAGATCCCTGAAATGCGAACCTCAGATATTTCCTGTGTGGGTAATATACTGGGATGTGGAAATACGCATCTTTCAGGTCGACTGATGTAAACCCAGTCGTTTTGTCGGCACGAGACGCAGCAGAGATGTGTGAGTGAGCATTCTGAATTTGTATCTTTTTAGATATTTTTTCAGAGCCCTCAAATCTAGTATTTGGCCCGAATTCCGTTCCCTCTCCCGTTTGGGAACGAGGAAAATACTTGGAATAAAAGCCGCTCTGACTCTGCCTCGGCGGGTATTATAGATACAGCCTTCTTTCTAGTAGGGAGAGAATCTGGGCCCTCTGCCTGAGATTATGGGCTGACTCTCCTCGTGGGTTTGTGAATATCCAGAAAGCCCGAGTGGCGAGACGGGAGCTACAATATCCCATAGTGACAGCGAATTGGAGTCTGTAGAACTGTAGGTTACTGTCTTGAAACCCAAGCAGAAACGTTGTGAGCATCTCACCACCTTTCCGGAAGCGAGAAGAGGTGTTGTGTTAATGATGCCTTTGCGGCGTCTGAACACGATGGTACCCAGACGCTGATCAAGATCACCAGCCTCAGATTGGCGTACTGAGCATGCGCCGTGACGGTGAGGCCGATCAACCCCAGTCGGACACTGCGCATGCGCTGGCGGTGGTGCCTTCACAGACCCGTCTATTATCCGCCTATTTGAGAGAGTCCCGTAGCTGCTCTCAAAAGAGGTACAGGGACAGACTGTTTATTGTTTTTATTGTTTTTCTTTTCATTTTTTTGGACTGCCCCTCGCTTGAAGCCTGGATGCGACAGTGAAAAATGGTTTATTTGAAAAACAACGATTGCGACATGTGTTTTTGTGACTTAGCAGATAGCAGAACTCGCTGTCTCTGGTATTAAGTCTGTTTCCCATCTGGCGCGAACTTGAGGATGCGTGCGGCATCACTCGAGCGGCCGGGAAAGATGGGGGCCTGGTGGCACCCGGAAACACATCTGGAGCTGGGGAACAGGGAACTTCCAGCTCTGTCACCGAGGAGAGGAGAGGAGGCTGTCAGGCCGCCCGCTTCTTCTTTTTCCTCGACTGGTGACCGAAAATCTGAGTCGGCTGTGCCTGAACAGCAGCTGCCGAAACCGGAGATTTCCTCGGCCAGCTCGTCCTCGTCTCCTGCCTGGGCTGGGGACTCGGGGCGGGCTGTGGCCTCTGTTGCCTCGGTACCTTGAACCGGGCAGAACGTGAGGCAACTTGGGCGAAGGACTGCCGCGAGACCGTCGCAGGTAGCGGCTGGACCCTTCGGGGGAGACAGAGGTGCAGGGCCTCGTATTCCTTCTTTTTCGACTCACATCTCCGCTGCATCGAGACTAAAGCGGAGCCGAAATACCCTCGGGAACGATAGGCATGTCAAGAACATCCTCCTTTTCCCGGTCTGGGAGGTTGGTCAGGTTGAGCCACCTGGCTCTCTCCTGTACCACCATTATGCCCATGACTTTGCCCGTGGCTTGGACTGCACAGCGCTGCACACGGAGGCAAATGTCCGTGATTGCTGCGATCTCGTCCCATACGGCCGGCCCAGGTTTGCTCGATAGGTCCTCGCAGAGCTCCGCCTGGTAGGCGGTCAGCAGTGAGGAGACATTGAGTGCCCTGGCGGACAACGCTGTGGCTTTATAGGCCCGTTCCGTCATCACTGACTGGAACCGGTCTGCCTTCACCGGTAGCGTGGGGTTCCTGCTTGGTGTCGGAGCCAGCCTCGGTTGGAGGTGGGCTGCCACCAGCGGTTCCATGGGCGGCATGCGGAGCAGGCTGAGCCTCTCCATACCGTCACAGTCCAGGGAGGAGGCACCCTGGATTGGGGCCTTATTACTGAAGGGGCGGTCTCTCCACGAGACCGACACCTCATCCAGCATCTCCGGGAAGACTGGAAGGAGCTGCCTCTTTGTCCTCGCTGCTTGGGGCAAAGTCTTCCCCTCGTAGCGAGACCTGGAGGTCTCCTTGGCCATTTCAGGCCATGGGATGTCCAGCCTGGACGCGGCACGTTGACACACGGCCTGCAGGTCCATGCTCAGACAGGGCGAAGCTGGTGCGCTATCGCCCGGGAGAGCAGCCATCGCTCCCGGCTTTGCAGCCTGAGCTGATGACACGAAGACATCATCGTCTTGCTCATCCGAGTCGGACAGGAGGAACTAAGAGGCATCCTCTTCGTCCTCCATGTAGTCCAACTCCAGGACATCATCCGCGGGCGAGACCATGGTGAGGTCCAGTTGGGAGCCCCAGCTTGACACAGCGCGGGGCCCCCACTCTCGCGGCTGTTGCCGCCACCGGGTCCCAGCCTGACACGGCGCGGGGCTCCGGTTCAGCAGCTGCCGCTGTTATTGAGCCCCAGCCTGACACAGCGCGGGGCTCAATCACCGCGGCGGACGCCCCCATGTCTTGATTGCCGGCCGGCGAAACAGCGGACATGAGGGGGTCCTGTCCCGACAAGCTAGCTTGGCGTGCCAGCCGTCGGTGGAGGCTCTTGATGGTGAAGCGGGCACAATGCCCGCACGAGCCGGGGTTGTCGATAGCCTCCTGGGCGTGTTCCAGCCCGAGGCAGGACGAGCAGACCTGGTGTGAGTCTGTGCCTGATATCTTCAACCCGCAGCCGCAGAGCCGAGCCTCCGAGTCCCTGACTCCTCTGGTGTGAGGGAGAGAAGCGTCCATCTCGTTCGCCGTGGTGAAGGCGTGGAGAGGACCCGCTCGTAACAGGTACGTTGCTGAGAAAAAATCCTTCTCCACCTGTCGTTAATCCGGAGAAAAAATCGACGGTGTAGAATTTTATTCTCAAAGAATATTAACTGGTGTGTTAATACCCTTTTTATCTTCCCCTCCTCTGGTGTGAGAGAGAAAAAGAAAAAACCGTCCCCGCTACCTTGGTGTCGGTAGTGAGGAAAGGCAAGCTAGTAACAGGTGTGTTACCAGCTTGAAAAATCAAAACCTTACCTTTAATTCCGAAGAAATAAATGGCGAGGTAGATTGCAACACTAACTGGTGTGTTAGTATTAACAGTCTTCTTGCAGAAGTATATATAAAAGTAGCCGGCGAGCGCCCGTCGACCGAAGTTAGCTTGGGTAGCTTGGTTCCGTCTGTGGACTGTGTGAGCTAGCCCGGCTACCAATAGAGATGTGCTCTGAAGCGAGAAGAGGTGTTTGAATGATGCATGCGGTGTAGCGCAAGCTACTTATAGGGGGTAGATTCCCTGACGCTGACGTCAAGATCACCAGCCAATCAGGATTGGCGTAATGAGATTGATGCTTCTGTTTGCTCCGCGATGAGGCGCATCCCATAGTGAGACATCGAACGGAGTGTTACGAATGAGAACAACCAGCACAGATTAACCTGCTCTGCTAAAAGGGCTGTTAACTTTATTTTAATAATACCACACTTCGTTACATATGGAGGAGGGTAAGGCCCATGTGTTAAACACTTTTTAGGAAAACACATTTGTATTGTCAAGTTCTGAGATTAAAGTCAGAATTCTGAAAAAACACTAACTCTCACTATTTTCTGAAAACTCAGAATTAACAGAAAAACATATATATCTGAATTCTGACTTTTTTTCTCAGAACCACGGTTGGTCCTAATCATCTTCCGTACGTACAGCACAAAAATCATGTACATACAATTAAAGCGTATATATTTACAGCCTACATACACTGAATATAACTATAACACCACTAAATAAAGATACAATAGTAAAAACAGAGTGTTTATAGAGAACAAAATACAGAAAATGTTTGCAGCAGCCTATATCTATCTTTACCAACACATGCAAGTCCTTGTCGGTGGTTAGTAATAATTCAAAAATGTGTTTTACTGGAAACCAATGAAGGGAGCGAAGAATGTGGGTTTTGTTGCCCTGAAATAAACACATTCAAAGGATCACAAGTGTTGAACTATCTCAGATGGCTGATGACTTACAGAAACACTTGCACAGTGTTGAATTGTATGCACCGACTTGAATTAACAGTGGTGTTTTAGCTGTGTGAAAATGGCCCACATTAGCCCGTGTTTTTAACAAGGGCAACATGCATAACAAGATATATTGCCTTGTTGTAACACTTTCAAAAGAGAATTGGCAAATAAAATGTGTCTAATTTATGGAGTAATTTGGATGGCATTGGTTGGATACTGAATTGTCTGGGAATCGAGCCCTCATGCTTTGCTATGTGCTGCCTGCAATGCTCCAATGTTTGTAGGGATTATTTGAAATATGAACTTTCCTGGCACCAGTGCATAACCCATGTAATTTGCTCTTTTAAAAACTCCTCATCCCTCCCCACACGCTCTGCAGCACTTTTCCTTCATTAGCTTTATTTTCCTTTGTGCCACATAGTCAATGAATTGTTCACAATTAATCCCTGCAACCACACACGTAGACCACCAAGTAATGACCTATATTATGTAGAATCGTTGTGTAAGGATCATACTGTACATGGATAAAGCATGTTGGCAGTGGTGGAAAGTAAATTTACGAAAGTACTGTATTTCAGTATAGTGTTGAGGTGCTTGTACTTGAGTATTTTTACATGTTACTTGTTAGATTACATTACATGTTACTTGTTAGACGCTTTTATCTAAAGCGACTTACATACTCAATACTGTGGCCAATCCCCACAGGAGCAATTTAATTTACACACACATTTATTTAAATGTTATGCTCCTTCATACTTTTATTCCAATTCAATTTAGAAGCCCTTTACTTTTTACTCCATTACATTTATTCCACATCTTGAGTTATTAGTTACTTTAAGATTATAAGCTGATACAAAATATGAATTACCAATAAATACACATATTGACATATAATTATAGGTTAAGATACCCACCATCAGTAATTCAAATGATCTCCAACTTAACCAGCCGTGTTAGAGGGCTTAATTCACCAATTGTGTTTGCAGGGACTTGGATCAGGAACTGAAGGGTTGCTGGTTCAAGATCAGACCTGAACAAATGAAGTGTGCACTGGTTGCTGGAAAGGTGCCTGTTCACCTCCTGAGCACTGCTGAGGTGTCCTTGAGCAAGGCACCGAACCCCTAACTGCTCCCTGGTGCTGGAAAACCTGGCAGCATTTTTGCTCTGCCACTACCGGAGTGAAAAAAGGGTTATATTCTTCTTCTTCTAATCATAATCCAGTAATATGATATCTATTATTCTGAAATGGGCTATTACACATAACGAGTACTTGTGTGTTGGTATTTGCGAATAATGTTGGTGGCTTTTGTACTTAGTTTTTCTAGGTATAAAAAAGGATTTATCTTAAGTATAAACATATATATTGCTCTTCACATTCATTTTACGACATTAGTTACTAATTACTTTAAAGGTTGATATTATTGATACAAAATATAAATGGATGTATGAGGTATGCTATTATGGATTAAGATACCGGTCAATATAAGTAATCTCTGAAGTTAGCTCCACCTTTACCAGCTGCAAGATACAATCATTTACACATTAATGGACCACTCATTATAATTCAGTGATGTAAGACATTATAATTATTATTCTGAAAATGGTCATTCTGCATATGAGTACTATTAGTTTCTGTACTTTCACTTCAATAAATGAAGGGAGATGTACTTGTAACGGTGTATTTCTAAACCGTGGTATTACGTAATTTAGAAAAGGATCTGTGCCTTTGTTCTACCTCTGCAACTAGAATTGTATTGACAACAGATAAATGATTGTTTCTTTAACTAAAGGCAAGGCACACATTTACCCCCTGGTGCGTGAGTAACAAAGAGGTAGCAGTTTCCATCACCTCTCTGGAAAACTCACACAGAGACGTTTACAATACTGGGCTACTCCTCTGGTGGGTTGGTAGTAAGTGGTTAGGATTTTCTCTAAGAGCATCAGCTCCGTGTTAATGACATGCAGTCTCCGGAAAGGTTTATTCATTCAATTTGACTCAAGAGAGGAGATCTCTTCAGCCTGCTGATTAAATTAAGATTCTTTAATAACCATATCTAAGTGTGCTGACACGAGAGAGATTCTGACCCTTGTCGACCAATGAAGATAACCAAAATGGTGTGTTTTGAAAGCATGTGACAGCATTGCAGTGCATTACTCTGTTATGTCACAGTTTGGTGGTCATGATTCACCTCTGATCTGCTCTTAATTTCCTGTGCCACACAAATCCAAAGCTGTACTTTTGAAATCATTTTCTAAAATGAAGGGACCTATTTTCTGCCTTTCACGTGGTCCAGTTCTAATTTCTTCCATTTTGATTCAGTACATGTGGCTACTTTGAAAGGAATGCCATTGAGGAAAAAATTGCAGAGTTCATTATGACGTGCATGGTGCTTATTGTCGAAATAGGTTCGACAAAGGTGACAGATGGTGGAAAATGATAAGTGGTCTTCAACCAGTTCAGCATCAAAGAACTCTATTCTATGGAAACAAGAAAAGCTTCACAGCGGGAGGAACTTGTCATAAAGTCTGCGATAATAAAACCCACCCATTTAGAGGGAAGATATGATTGGTCAATTGTACTGTCATTTGGGGGGGTGGTGTGTGGGAGAGAAATTCCCTCTAGAGCAGGGGTCACCAACCTTTTTTAGGATGAGAGCTACTTTCAAAACATAAAGCAAGTCAGGGGCTATTTTTACTCCTTTTTTTTTGTTTTTTGCAGTGTATATATTTAGCACATTTCTAACATTGTTATATGCTGACCTTTAACCTTTGTGTGCTGTTTGGGTCTGTGGAACCCGTTTTCAGTGTTTACTAAAAGAAAATGTATGCAATCTAATTATTTTAACCTGCTTTATTAGGGGGGGACTTCACACCCTCTAGGGGGGTCCGGGGGCATGCACCCCCGGGAAGATTTTTTTTAAATGTTGACGTTAAAAGCATCAATCTGGTGCACTTTGAGCACAACATGCATTTATGGATACAGCTCTCAACACTCATATGAAAGAGAGCTGTATACTTTTCAATAATCCAAAAATCTTTAGAATATGATCCCAACCAAAAACAAATAATTTAAAGTTGTTTATTCTTATCTTATGTTACCTAGTTAGTATTCCTTCTTTCTATTTATGCATATTTACCTAATCATTCCCCTCTTAAACTATTTTTTTTTTTTTACTGTCCTATACATTGGAATGATTTCTTACTTTATCTATATTAAATAGATACAGGTGTG